TTTAGTGAAGAAAACAATATTTCAGCACTTGTCCCATCTGGCAAATTGCCAACCCAAAGAATTGCTGTTTAGTTTCGTAAAAAGATTTGCTTTCTTTTCTATTGCCTTTTATATTGTTGATCAAGATTTAATTTCTTGAGGAGAATAATAAAGAGATAATTACTCATAATAAATTTCTTAACCTTGATATAAATGTTTTGCTTTTGATTGGATTAAAATGGAATTAATCTTAATATATGCACAAATAGACCAAAGAACACGTTCAAGGGAAAAAAAAAAAATCTAGCAAACTGACGAGGCAGGCATCCACTAACAAAACAACCAAAGGTCAAGGACACATTAAGCTAGCAATCCCTTTCACATGGGAGCTCCAACTAGCTAGTTATTGCTTTCATTTCACTCCAACTCATCCTGATTTTAAAATTTGAGAATGCTTGAATGGAAAATCCCTAACCAAATTAATTGCATAGTACCTGATTTGTTGCCACCCCACTCAGCAGGCCAGAGGGAGTGGACTCAAATGCTTCCCTATTGTCTTGGGTCTCTCCATTTTCTGGTTCACCTTTAACGTTTCTTTTTTTTTTCCCCCCCCAAAGATTCTGGCTCATACAGAAGAGGGAGAGACATCATACACTGTGCTTAGGTTGTGATGATGATGTTGGGACTTGGGACAGAGTTTGATGTCTAGGTTTCATGGGATCTCTCACGCGCACCTGCTGTCATTCAGCATTATCGTTTTCTTCTGTTAAAAATGGAAGCTTTCTTACATGTTTGATGATTGGCTTACCTCCCCAACATTCTGCCTTCTTTTTTATAGCAGTATCTCATGAGAGGGGTTATTTCTACACAAATCATTTTTTTTTTTTATGTCGGTTATACAACGGGAGACAACCATCTCTTATCTTTTATCTTATCCTACCAGTATCTTATACGACGTGAACTCAAATATTTTATTTTCAACGGAACGAGATTACTACTGAATTACTTAAATCGTTAGTAATTTTTTTTTAATAATAATTATTATATTTAAAAATGTTAATTTATATATTAATTTTAATATAATTATTTTATTATTAATTAATTAATAATTATAATTATTAACTTATTTTTAATTACTAAATTAAATAAAATTAATATTTTTAAAAATAATTTAAAAAATTATGTGATCTTGACCTTTACCTTTGTCGCCATAACTATGCCCAGGGTCCCCCCACTATTCTGCCATGGTCAAAGATAAGAGTATCTCTTGTCTCGTATTCTTGATTGTTATACCACTTTTTTTTTTTCCCTTACTTTTCATTATTAATTTTCATGTCACCTCCTTTTTTTTCTTAAAAGATTCTTAATGTTTTACTGTTTTTCCAGGGCGTCTCTTCAAGAATATTGGAAACAGCTATGGTATACCAAGGCAAATCCCATGTCATGAAAAAATCTAGATAAAATGTTCACACAGTTAAATTCTGTTGTACAAAAAAGGTAGTTCTCATATCATTACTTATATTTAAATTGTTGGGAGAATATATTCTCTCTGTCTCAAAAAAATTATATTTTTATTTTAAATTAATTTTTTAAAACAAAAAATAAATATTTTTTTTGTTTTAAGTTTATTATTATTTATTTATTTTAATTAATTATTTTATCACTAAAAATTTTATTTATTTTTTATTAAAAATAATAAAATAATATATAAGTTATGTTTAAAATTTTAAGTTAAAAAAATTACAAACAATAATTATTTTAATATATGGAGAATAATTCATACATAAAATCTCAAGTCAAATTCAAAACCTTTTGATGTTGAAAGGCAGAGGGTACAATTCAGCCCATCTACTTCCATTGTTGTGGGATATCAACATCTCTACTTAACAGTAGTGCAAATCAGCTCCTCTACTTGACCAAACTTGCAAATCAGCCCTTTTGCTGAGGATGACATTAGTAAATGTCATCTCTCTTTCTACATCCTTATTACTTCGTTACCAAGGAATGGCTTAGTGCTCATACAGGGATGGCAATTTGCCCTAATTTCCATGCGGCCCCATGGGGATCCCCACCATGAGGACGAGGTGGGGAGGAGAGGAATATTCCTTCTCGCAAGGCGGAGAAGGGGGGCATTTTCCCCTGGTGAAATTTCATGGGGCATTTCCCTTGCCTTGTGAGGATCTCCATCTCAGTGAAAAATTAAAAAAATATGAAAATTAATTTTATTTCAAATTTAATTCAACTTTCAAATCCAAACCCAATTCAATAAAAATTAAACTTAACCCAATTTTACCCAACCCAACCCAACCCTACCTATCATTAACCTTTTAACTATTTATGTTGGATTGATTTTTATTTATGTTTGAAAAATTTATATTTGATTTTATATTTAAAGAATTTTAGGTAATTATACTTAAATTTTTAAAATTTTATTCATTATAATTAAATATTAATTAATTAGATATAAAAAATTTATATTTTGATATTAATTAGCGAGGAATAGTCCCCACAGGGATGAGAGGCAAAATCTACCTCGTTAAAAATCTCCGTGAGGATCTCTGTCCCCGCCATTCACGGGAACGAGGACGAAGAGGGACTCCTCGACCTCATGAGGCCTTGTTGACACCCCTACATATGGCATTAGGTGGGTGATGTAGTCAATTTAAACTATAAAATTACTAAAGAGTCCTTGTCTACTTCCTTTTCTTCCATCCATCTTCGCACTTCTCTTTTACATTCTCTCTCTTCTTATTGTAGATCTTTTTTTTTTTTTCAAAAAATTCAAGCTAAAATTTTCTTCAGATAAGTTTAAACTCAAAAAATTATTAAAAACCCCCTCAAAATATGAAAATATAACAATTAAGAAAATTTTCAAAATTAAAATAAAAAATTGTGG